ATCCTTTCCACATCTCTCTACCTTAAAGATAGGATTGGGTTTGTGTCTCTGTATGCCCCTTAAAAATGGAAAGCTATCTATCATGTGATTCTCTTTCTTCTCTTAAATATAGCAAACATCTTTTTCACTCTCTTAAATATTATTTTTTAGGGAAAGTATCGAAAGTATACTTTTATTTTCACCTAATTGGAAAAAGACTTTCATAAACCTCATCCATATCTCTCTTTTTTTTATCAAAATGACCTTCATAATAGTCATATTATTATTATTATTATTATTATTATTATTATTATTATTATTATGAGTGTGAAGCCCTATTACGGTACTTAAAGTACTATAATGCTTACCCCATTTTATATAGCATTTTAAATGCTGTGATAACTCGAAGTATGTGATAACTCGAAGTATGTTAAATACTAAAACTGAGGAAAATTGATGTATATAAAGTTTATGAAAGTTGAGAGTTGTTTTTTCTTATTAGTCAAAAATTAAGGTATATTTATGATAATTTCCCTATTTTTATATTAAACTACATGCATACTCTCTCTCTCTCTCCCTCCTAATATAGGTGAGTGATTTGTCTCTCCCTCTTAAAATAAGTGTACGATCTGTTTCTCGAAGATGAGAATGTATCCTACAATCTCTATAGAATTTGGGCTCTTTCTTGGATGTGCATATTCTCTCTCCCTCCTAAAATCTCAAACATGAGAATGTATCTTGCAATTTCTATAGAATTAGTGCCTCTTATTATTTTCGCTACATATGTCCACCCTTTAACTCTGGTTATGCATACTCCCTCTCTCCCTCCTAAAATAGGAGTATGATTAGTTTTTCAAAGATGAGCATATATCCTACAACCTCTATAGAATTAAGACCCTTTCTTACTTTCGTGACATTTGTCTACCCTTAACTCTGGTTGTGCATACTCTCTCTCTTCCTCCTAAAATAGGTATTTGATATGTCTCTCCCTCCTAAAATGGATACTTGATCTCTCTTTTAAAGATGAAAATGTATCCTACAATGATTATAGAATTAGGGTCCATTTTTATTTTTGTAACATATGTTCACCCCTTAACTCTAGCTTATTCATGTTTTATAAATACATAGCAATTATATGGAAATATGTGTTAAAAGAGAGTTTGGCACAACGTATCACACTCGCATAAAGCACATCATTCAAAACAATAAGCTATTCCTACTTTATTGACTTCATTGGTTTGAATTGCCTTTTTTTTTTTTTTCTTTTGAATAATTTGGTCAAATCAAGCCTTGCAATCTCAATTTTTTAGAATATATATTCAAATCATGATTTTTTCAATTATAGGTCAATATGCTTTCTCTATGGCATCATTAAGTGCTACACTATCAAAATCTTTAGATGCTTTTTATGCCTATTAGCACTGTTGGCTTCCACAGTCTTAACATACAAATGGGTGTCAAAGCATTGTGTGGTCAACAGTTAGAAAGGACCGCACTTCAATCTTAAATAATTGAAGTAAGATTACGTCCATATTTTACAAAAGATGAAGTTTTAGTGCTGAAAACCTCTATGATAGCAGGTAAATCTGTTGTCACCTCTAATTATTATCAAATTATAAAGCTTTAAAATGATGTAAATCAAACATATCTATAAACACATGAAACTCTTGAAAATAAACGAATTAGGTAACATGTTATCAGTTGTATTCGTTTTAAAACTCAAAATCCTTTTTTTTTTAA